GCCCAACAGTTTTCATTGGGCATTTTTCATATAAAAGGAGGATATTGAAACCTCAACTCTTCATTTTGCGATTAACCTTACTTCGTAAGTTTGTTTTGCATTACTTTTTATTGCAGTTGGCATTGCAAAAGTTCACGCTTGGGTTGCGGTGGAATGGTTACACGGAAGAGTATGGAAAGGGGTACGTTACGTCAGTGGTGATTTTCAGAAAGTGAAGGTCGCTACGAGATCAACCCTTGAAGAGCTCCGTCAAATGTGTACTACGGTTACTTTCATGGAGGACACGAGGGGAGTTGATCGTAGTTTATATCAATATCCAAATAGACAAGGTGGGTCGTTGTGGCATGAGGAATTGCTCATAATCACTGAGGAGGAATTTAATGTCATGCTCGAATATTAGAATGCCGATAATATTTCCAAAGTAGAGATGTTTGTTTGCACTGAGGCGGTCGTAGGCGGTGGAGGTTATTCTGGAGATGGCCAAACATCTGGTATTTACGATGGGTGGGTATATGAAGATCATCCTTACCAAGGTTACCATGATCATCATTCCTACCATCAGTACCAAGAAGGAGGTGGAGGTCATTATCAATCATTCCCATCATATGAAGAAGAAGCCCAACGATACCATGACAACCAACAAGAAGGCTACAAGTACCAACTTGAGTACGACTTCCAAGCAGGCACCGGTAGTTATTGCAACTACCATTATGGAACTGATGAAGGTGCCTTTCACAAGATGGATTAGATGGAAGATGCGCTGCCAGGTCAAGTTAGTGACCTTGAGGATGAAGAAGAGGAAGGCAATGTTAGTGTAGACAGCTTCGACCCTCTTGAAGGTGCTGATGATTTAGGAAGATTCTAACTCAGATGATGAGGAGGTGTCTCATGACCATGTGTCTATCCCGTACTACAATGATATTCCAAAAGAAAATTGTATGTTGATACCGACATGGAGCCGCCAGAGGTGCCAATATGGGGTCCAACCACTGGGTTTAAGAGTGTCCAACAATTTGGTACGAAGAAGGAGGTGCAGCACGTTGTTGACACTGAAGCAATGACTCGGAGTTTTGAATGGCGCACAAGTCATTCTGACACTAGGAGGATCATATTTAGATGCCAGAATCAACATAAGGGATGCAAGGTTAGGGTCCGTGACCTCAAGAGCAAGAGATTCGTTATTGGATCATATCCCGTGCGGTGACTACTCATACATGTGAGTCATCCATAACATCTAAGGCCATCGGCAATCGAAATACAGGGTGGTTGTCGTGGCTATCAAACACCTAATTAAGCAATAACCCTACCAAAAGAAGAAAACCATCATCGAAAACATTTCAAGTCGTTATGGATATATTATTAACTATAAGTAGGTGTGGCAAGGAAAGAAAAAATCCATGGCCATCGTGTTTGACGATTGGGAAGAATCATATGCATACCTTCTCAATTGATTTTGACATTGGAGGCATCTAACCGCGACACTATTTTCTCCACCCGCTACCAAGATGAAGAAATATGATTTCCAGAGCCTGGTAACAAATGCCATTTCAAACTACTTTTTTGATCATTCAAGCCATCTATTGATGGTTCTCCCTTATGTGTCCCTGTGATGCAAGTGGATGGCACATTCCTTATCGGCAAGTATAAGGGTACTCTCCTTATTTCCAGTGGAGCGGATGCAAACAAATGTGTCTTTCCTATAGCCTTCCCCATTGTTGAGGGAGAGAATACTGAAAGTTATGGATGGTTCTTCCGACAAATTCACCTCCATGTCACGAAGAGGATGAACCTGACAATAATCTCTAATCGCAATGTCGGGATCAAATTAAAGCTGCCATCTTAGGTTTGGATCCAACCTGGAAGTGGTCCCAGAAGTGGTGCATACGACACTTCAAGAGCAATTGGAACCATGCGGAGGAAGCTTGCTGATAATTTGTGGTTGACTAGTAACCGTTCCATTTCATTATCAAGTTTATTTTCTAATTGTTAGGTTGCTTCAAATACAATGCAACATTAACTTAGACTCTTTATAAAGAGATGCATTCCTAAAGAAATGGGGTCTGAAGCGATCATCATGATCCTCCTATTCCTGGGAAAATTGGGTATTAAGCGATCCTAGGATCCCCCGTTTTCTATCAAAAAGAATGTTTCTAAGAAGATGTATACCTCTCCTAAGAGTCTAACGAGTTTTGCTGTATTGGCTTAAATCATTGCAAACAAACAATAAGAAATATTGTGTCGGGGTATAGTGAATTTATATTAATGTACGCTTATGTGAATTCCTCAGTTGTTCCCTACCAAGAGAAGAAATCCAAGAGAGGTTTCAGAGGTTACTGACGCCAAGGTAGTTCACGGTCGCTAAGACCGTGAACTCGAGCCCTGGACCGTGAACCCCAGAAATGAAGCGGTGCGTTTTGATTCAAGCATTGTAGTTCATGGACGTGTTCTGATCTTCACGGTCGTGAACTGGGCGCGCGGCTGGCTATAAATAGAGAGTTGGAAGGAGGAAATAGGGAGTTTTTAGTAGGTTTATTTAGTGTGTAGAATAAAAGAGTGTTTCTAGTGAGAGATAAGGGTTTCCTCTTCCTATTCTAAAGAGAGAGTGTGTCATTCAAAGGAGGAAGAAGGAGATTTCGGTTGCCCTAAGCTAGAGGGGTGAAGATTCTTACTTCTCAAGGGAGAATTTAGCAAGGAGGAAGGAAGATTTTCATCTCTTCATGGTTATTTCTCTCCTCTTTCTTGTTTTTCTTTGCCTAGCTATGTAATAGCCTACCTATTCACTTGGGTGTTGTGAACCCTCACTATAATTATGTGAATTCTTGTATGAATTGAATGATTTGTGTGTGGTTGTGTTTAATGTGAATGTGGAGGTATTTTTCATGGTGATTGTGTGTACTATGTCGACCTAGCTTAGAGAGGAGACCTCCTTAGGTTAAGAGGCTCAATTTTTTATGAAACCATAAGGTTTACTAAATGATTCGTTTCTGATGATGCTATATCATCACAAAAAAATCTACTGCTTGTCAGTAAAAATTTTCGTCATTTGTCTTCGTCGTGAATATTTTCATTTCTGACGTCATTCTTTAGTGTTACGACGAAAAATATCGTGTCGCTAATAAGAGCATTTATGACGGAGCATTCGGTAATAGTTTATTACCGATGGGACTTATTCTGATAATGATCGACGACCATATGTCGTCGGTAAAACCTATTTCTGACGCAATTTGACTTTTACTGGCGCAAAACTTATCGTTAATAATGATGGTCTTTTTTGTAGTGGCATGTCGTATGGTCAATGGCCTAGTTGGATGACCATTACGCGGAGAAATGTCTAGCTGACCTTGGCTCAAGTGTCAACATTCTACCACTGCATAGAAATCACGCTTGCCAAAAACACCCATTGCAAAGCTCTTGGAGTTTTTCAAGGCCTAAGCACCCAAGTTGGGCCATTCATTTTATTCCCCTGCTACCTTGTGATTGACGTGGAGACGAGCAAAGAATATTCAACCTTCTATTGAAGACCATTCCTTGTCACTACTGGAGCAAGTACTGCTAATGATGAAGAAACCCTGCATGTTGGGAAACTCTTATACAAAGTAGAGAAACCAATCAAATGAAATGTATAACTCAAGAAGTATCCAAATGATGATCCGGAGTATGAGGAGAGTTGAAAAAGGTTCTGTCAATTCCCGATCTAAAAGAAGTTCAAATGGCACTCAGGATAGCCTGTTCAAGACAACTAATAATGCGTGAAAAGATCGACGGACTGGAGTATGAGGCATCAAAAGAGTATCGGGAGTTCATCAATCATCATAAACCCTATGGACTCACAATTAATAGAGGTAAGACATTTAGTTACGTACCACAATCCTCTATAGCTGGTCAAGTGCCTCATAATCGCTTCTCATTTCTTGAGCTCTTTTGTCCTCCAACTTTGAATTAAATTAACTGAGGAACATGTGTAGGTTTTGATTGGAGTTCAGGTAATCACAGAGTACTGAATTGCAAGAGTTACTTAGCTGTGAACTCTGCATCCCACCCATGAATTGCTCGTCCACCCAAGCTGATGAGCATTGTTTCTTTAGCTTCAACATATGTTTCCACAATTTATTATGGTTCTTAGGCTTACCTTTATAGCGTTCTGCGAACATTTCATCCTAGTGGAAATTGAATTCTTCCTCTGTCTCCACATCATACAAGTAGTTGATACAGTCAGCCACTTTGCCTTTCCAAACCGCCTTGTTCTTCTCATTCTCCCTTATATGGTATGTGCAGAGTCAATGAAAAGTATGCCTATCCATTTCGCTGGTGTTGATGGTGCTCGTTATGCCCACTGCAATTGCAGCACACTGGTACGTGAAGATCGACGTCGGTCTCTTAACAGACATGCACTCCAAAAATGTTCTGAACAACCGATTGAATGTTTCTTTCATCTCATCATACAATAAAGTAGGGAAAACACACATAGAGTTCTATAGCGGTTGAATCCAACGAAGAGAGCTACAAACATTGGCAATTTTGTAATTGATAACATGATTGTAATCATGACTGTAATTATTCATAATGCATCTTCAAATGATTACAAATGTGTATATCATTATCATTGATAATATATGAGATAATCCTTACTAATGGTTCAATAATCGTTACTAATATCGACAATTTAATTGTCACCGTAACACAATACAAAAAACTATGCAATATTGCTTATGCGACGACAATCATTACTGATGAATTTTAAACATATTGCTAATGTATGTCTAATCATTACTGAACATCACGTCGAGAATTGAGGATTATTTTTCAGCAAAACACCAATCACGAGAATATATACTTAGTGGACGTAATTGTTGATTTGTTCGATAGGTGGTTTCGAAGGAAGATGCACATCATAATGGATTTCCGTTATCCTCTTAGGGATTTCTATCACTCTGTTTGATAGGTTGATTTGGTATTCGTTATATTTGTACTTAAATTATGATCAAAGAAGAAAGGGAAAATGAACAAATAAAACATAAAATAGAGAATTCCCATGTAGGGGCTGACCATCCCATTTTAATGACACTTTGACCTGAAAACCTGAATGCATTTGTAGCAAAATGCCCTTTTGATCACAAACTCTCACTTATCAATTATCAATTTACCATGATTGTTTATTTACACGGCTTCAAAATTCACAAGTACATTTACCTCCTTTTTTTGTTCTTTGCATTCCATTGATTCATCCCCAATACAAAGATGTAGCATTTCATTTTACCGGCTTTCACAATCTTAAGCCAGTCCTAGCTAGCCAGAAGGCGTAACTTCTGAACCTCTAACAACTTCTTGCTGACTAGGACTTGCAATTGTTGGAAAATGTGATGGACTTAACCCAGCAGCCATTGCCGTCGCGTATGGTGCTTCTGCTGCTGGCGTCTGATTCCCAGAACCATGCTGTTGGCTTGGTAGTTCTGTGGCTGGCTGCGTCGAGTTCCTAGTCGTCCGTGGCTGGCCTGATCGAGCCCGTAGCTGCCCTCTCCATTTCAGAATCTCAGTTAAACCTGAACTCATACACATTGTAGCTCCAAAACCAGTGAACGTGGCAAGAAGAACTGACAGAACAGCCTGCATGTGAATCTGGAACGGTGTCCAACCATGGAAAACATCATTATTTACTCACTAAATCGTTAACCACATATTTATCTCTGTTTACCAGAATCAGCAATACATCACCCACCAAAGAGTAGAACAGATGACCCGCAATGACCACCAATACGAACTGGGCAGTTGCATATGCCCACACATACTTTCTCCTAACTGGAGAAGAGAGTTGCAACTTAATTAGACAAGACTTGCAGTTGGAGGAGATCAATATCTAAAATCCAATATTCAAACAGAGAATAACTGGAAATGAAAAATAAGATCCTACCCATTGTTGTGGAAGACATGGATGCCAGGAGACCCAAAATACAGGCGAATGGAAGAGAAATGGCAATTGCACCAGACCCCAGCTTTGCAACCTGACATGCCGTTGGAAGATAGTAAACAAAAGGTACTTGGAGAAGAATGCACCAATTTAAGAGGCTATACTGTTAACTTATAAAAGTGTAAAAGCTATCACACTAAATTTACAAATTACTAAAATTCATATAACAAAAGAATCCATTTCCAACTTTAACCATTTAAAATAAGAATATATTCTTAAAACTCACTCATTCTGTTATTAGTAAACCGATTATTTATCTTTCAGCAATCACTTTTCGTTATTAAAAAACATATTTCACATCCCATCAATCTAATTTTTCCTAAACTTTGTCGAACACTCTCTTAACTTTTACTAGGACTTAAATGTTTTTTCCAATTTTGAGTTCGTTTGAGCAAGATATATTGCTTACCAGAAGCTGCTCTAGGAAACAAAAGTAAGCAAGCATGCTGACAATGACAAGAATGGGAACATCCTGCCACACCCTGTAGGACATCATTTTGGAAACATTAGTTCTCTGTCTTACTTTTCAATTCCAGAAACGGGAACTTTAAAAGGATAGAGAGCATTTTTTTTACTTGCCTGTATGGTGCCAGCTCAACGTGAGCTCCATTCCTACGACTCTGAGAAGTATGAATCCGTAGAAGTGTAACCGGTAAGTTCTTAACCTCTTCCTTGCAAACATCACAGATTTTGTTACCTTTGATGTTGAACCACTTCACCAAACACTCTTGGTGGGCTAGTGCCAGTTCACCTTTACAGCAACATTCCATCTTCAGGGTATCGCCAGCTTCACCTAACTCCACCAAACAGATTCTACAAACAGCTTCTTCTACTGGAATATCTTCACCACCATCGTCATTTTCATCTGCACCACAGGGCTAACATGAGGCAAAGGGTAAATAAATAAACACAGTTTTCTTAAGACCAACAGTAGTAAACAGCAGTTTACAAGGGCAGATTTACCAGTCTCAGGCCCAGGGGAAGGCATTGACGTCGCTTGTAAAGTTCCTATAGGTGACCTTGGAGTGGCTGGAATGACACGAATCACTCCACCTAATGAATCCAATTGCCTCAAGCTCACTTCTTTGTTCAGAACAGGAACTGAACGAGAACGGTGCATCGGTAATTGAGCTTCTCCCTTCTGTGAAAAAAACGAGTCAACATGAATGAATGGTTACAGTGAGCATTTACACTCAAAAGCTTAAGAGAAATGCATTACTCACAGCAGAATTGTGTGGATCAATTGTATGCCTTCCATGAATTGACTCAGGATTCGAACGAGAAATCGGCGAAACGGGTAAGGATGTTGTGTTCTTGTTATTAGCCCTTGGGGTGAAACCAAAAAGTTTGGTCAAAGACGTTGTTCTTCGAAAGAAAGACCTCTCTTTAACCGAGTCTGGTGAACCCCCAAGTGCTAGAATTGCAGCCCTTTCAATATCTGCCGTGCTTCGTCTGTACTTGAAACTCAATTTTGGGAGTAAGTTTTTCCGAGTGGATTTAGCCTTTGATGTCGAGCCGTCAGGGGATTCGCTGTATATGGCAAAACTGGGACTGCGGAAGGGAGAAAAGTTTACTCTTTTAGGGGTGGAAGTGGGGCTACGATATGAAGGCATTTGGATTGCCACAAAATCATCGCTGACTTCTTCCATATTTCTCGCCGGTATTTCCACACTCAGGTGATGCTGCCATCGTCGTTGGTGCTCCAAGTTTTCCTCTGTTATTTCTGTCGAACTTGCAACCTAAGAAAGATGAAAAGTAATTAGAACAGAGAGGAACTCCACAAACAACACCAATTAAAGGCTTTCTTCAAAGAGACAACAACTTCTTTTGGAGACGATGACTGTGAAATTCACAAAGATTGACCATCTAAAAACCAGCCATAAAGTGAAGACTCTTAAATGGGTTTCCGTGCAGAAGAAACTTCTTTGAGGAAAAAGGTCGAAAACCTGGCAGGCGCTTACTTGTGAAAACTCATAAAAAGCCAATTATACACCTTTCCAAATTCCAGGATCCTCTGCTTTCAACATTATCACGCATCCGACAAGTAGAAAAGCAGAACCCAGATTTTACAAAGTAAAAAAGGTACGAAATTTACAACCATCATGAAAAGATTTCCCCTAAAAGGGTAAGAAAGAAAAGGGAAGGAGGGAAAGGAGTACTGTACTCTTCGAAGTGGGCTGCCATTGCTAGCTCCCTGTTTAGCCTTCTGCTTTGGGAGAAGTTGTTCATCGCCCGCCATGGTATTTTTATGTCAACGACCTATAGCTTTACAGAGCAGAAATTTCTGGATTAGCTTTTCCACAAGTTGGAGCAGAAGTCTCTCCTTTCCTTCTGCCTTTATATGAATTGCCTTACTGGAGCTAAAGAGCACAAAATTATGAAAATTTCAATAGTAAGAGACTGAAAGAGAAATGTGGCATTTGCCAGGTAGGATGAGGAGTGCCTGGGGGAGGCTGCTCTCTCTGCGGTCTGTCTGGTGATTTTCTTTTATAGTTCTTTTAATCAATCACTAGTATTTAAATTTCCTTTAAAATCGAATAAATTGATTGGAAATCAAAACTAGGAGACGGGGGAGGATTAAAAAGAGGGGCAGAGAAAAAATGATGAAAGTGATGGATCAGTTGGCAAGGAGGAAGGGAGGTTGGGCGTGGAAGTGATTGAACTGCTGGATTTTTGTCGACTGCTAATATATACTCATTAGATTAGCCTAGCCACCTTAGTCAACGACTCCAAATTTTAATAAAACAAATACCTCGTTGCTGCTACTAACTCTTTATTTTATCGTTCTCAAAGAACAAAACTTCTCTTATCTTATCTTATGTTTGTTTATTTATTTATTTTTTAATTTTTTTTTACAATTGCTTTCTTTTATGTTATCTTCCATATAAATCCAATATTTATCTAACCTTTCTGTTAGCACACAAGTAAATCTATAATGCCCACAGGTAAAAAATGTACAATGCCCATGTTTGGCACTTTTTAGAAGTGTTTTACTTACTGTTACTAAAGCCGAGCCGCTCGGCCCCGGCGGTAAAACCGCCATCCGGTCACAAAATCGGCTCGAAACAGTTTAAAAGCCGCTCCGATTTTATGTAGCGATTGACGAGCGGCCGAGGCGGTTACGGCGGTAAAATCGCCATTCGGTCACAAAATCGGCTCGAAACAGTCGAAAAGCCGCTCTGGTTTTATGTAGCGGTTGACGAGCGGCCGAGGCGGTTAACCGCTCTAGGCGCTCGTCTGGTTTTTGTCATTCAGCTATTAAATTTAATTAAAAAATTGTAAAAAATTGAAAATTGAAATAAACTAAAAACGTCGGGCTCTCAAACTGAATCCGTATTTCCATTTCACAATTTTGAAGGAAAGAGACGAGCTTTGATTAAGAAATATCCACTATTTATACTGATAACGTTTATTAGGTACCAGTTCTCTAATAGTTTTTAAACGGTCTAATGCCGGTTGGACCACTAAAGTGCGAGCCGTTCGCATTACCGAGTCATGCTTCAGTTCGGTTCTGACAACATTGGTTTTACTGTTTTCTGTTTCAAAAACCGAAGCTAGAATAAACAACTCTGTAAGTTCAGCTTTTGAAAAGCGGACAACTTTTTTCCCCTGCAACACAAAAACAGAAGCTCAAATATTAGAACTTTTACAAAAAGTTGTTTTTAAAATATAAAATTATCCATACCATATTTTGGAAATAATTTTTTGCATGGTGTAAGGTTCCAACCCTTCGGTTTGCATTCAACCTAAGAAAAAAACCTGGGTTAAGGTCAAGGTTTTGGCCATGATAACTCAAATTAGACGAGGATAACATCCGTTTCAAACTGTTTGAGCCAAGATACCCTCTCCCACTTATCCTCCAATGCAACAATAATCCGCGGCTCGAGCGCCTGGAACCTGCCCACACAAGCGCCTAAAGGGCCTAGGTCGGCCCGTTAGCACTCCGACGCTCAAGTCAGTGCACCTTTCTAGAGAGATAAGTGCCGAGAAAGTTTTTAGTGAGAGAAGCCAACCTGCGTAAATGCTACCTACCGAGTACTATTTATACTTGCCGAGGTCCCAACGGTCCTCCTGGCATTTGAGCCCACGTCATTGCTTCATTTAATGCATGGTTCGTACCATGGTCAGGCGCCTATACGTGGCCGCGTTGGAACACCCCAAAAGGGGTCGCCCAGCAAGGACCACCTCGCCAGGTGGCTCCTTTCTAGCTCCTCCTTCCGTACCGCTTGTCCTCATGCTTCTTTTGTCGTCATGCGCCTGCCCTACGCTGAGTGCCTTAACCCATTGCTTGGGTCTGTTTTCCCATTCCATCCTCATGGGCTTGGGCCTCTTCATACATCCCCAACAATTGTCCCCCAGTTAGGTGCTCATAGTTAACGATGAGCGCCTAACTATGTACAAAGGGGCTAATCTCTCTCCCCATGCGCCCCTCACAGACGTGTCCCCCTCCGTGCGCGCCTCTACAGGCGCTTCCCCCATACGATATTGTCCCCCCTGTGTCCCACACTATGCTGTCATCCAAGAACTCGTAAATGATTTTCTCCCCATTCCCTCGATTCCCCTACCCGCCTTTCACTATTTCCCTTTACCCCTCACGAAATTCTCCGCCCGCCTTTACCACGCTCTCCTGAACGCCCATTCTCCTACCATCTCTAATTAGTAGGCGCCTCTCCGTCTCCTGCTAGCAGGCGCCCATCTTTACACCCGCCCCCCTCACCGTACGGTTCCAAATTTGATTTTTTTTTAAAAAATTCAAATTTGGGATGGACGGTGAGGATTTGATCTTATGGTCGGGCGCGCATTCCAACATTTGCCCGTTGGGCTCCTCCTCATATAAATACGCCGGTCGCTTTCCCCTTCTCTCATTTCTGCGAAATCTCTCTCTCTCTCTAACTCTCTCTCTCTCTCTAAACCCAGCCGCTTGTGCACCTGTTGTATCAAAAAATAAAAGCCGACAATGTCCCGCCGATCTGGCTCAGGCGCCGCCTCCCCTGATGCGATGAAGGACACCGGCTCGGCGCCCGATGTTCTTTCAGTGTTGGCGAAGCACTTTTCTCCCGATCCGCTTCGCGAGGCCGGCGGATGGACACCACGTGCCAAGAGTCAGGCGCCCGCTAGTGATGATGCGACCATCGCAGCAGTTATGGCGAGCGCCCCTGAAGCGGATAACACAAAGGAAAAATCGGTCGTGGTGGAGGAGCCTCCTAGCTCGCAGGCGCCGGCAACTAGTGATGCGCCCAGCGTGGCGGCGCCTTCAAAACCCGCTCCGAGTAAGTGTCCATGAGATCTAAATCGCTTTTTTTTAGGCGCCCATAGCCACTAGGATTTAGCATTGACGTTGGCCGTTTCCCTCAAACCTTTTAGGCGCGGCGTCCGGATCTCCCCCGTCGGCTGAATTAGTGATGTCTCCGATGTCATCTGATTCAGGCGCCCCCGAGAATGGATCCGTCAAGATTAAGAGATGGGTGGATACCTTCCCATCGGGTCAGGCGCCCACTGAGACCAGTAATTTGACCGTGATCGAAGTTGGTCCCGATCAGGTTTCGACTGTGAAGGCGCTTGAGTTAGAAAACTTGGCCATCTCCCTGCAACTTCCCCTCACCTGGTCCTGTGTGACCGCGCCCCGCGTGGCCCGAATTGGCGTAATTGGTCCTCGTTGGCTTGGCATTTATCGAGAATACTTTCGATTTGGGCTCCGCTTCCCCTTGGACTCGATCCTTGAAGGCATTTTGTCTCCCTGCAAATGCTCCATTGGGCGCCTATCTCCCTCCGTTTTTCTTATCCATATCCTGTTTAGATTGAAGTGTCGGCAGCATAACGTCGAGCCCTCTTTTAATCTCTTTCATCACTTCTTTAAAATGCAATATAGTGACAACTGTCTCTCGCTTCAGAGGCGCCTAGACATCCCCGGCCATTTCTTAGAAGAGGCGCCCAAGCTACGTAGAGAGTGGTTTAGGGGTTTCTTCTTCATTAAACCACGTAAAGAGTCTTTTTATGAAAGCGGCGCCCCGTTCACAAGAGGGTGGGTGTTTGGTGACCACGAAGCATTCAACGTCGAGGTAACCTTGACGACCGCGGAGAAGGAAGGCGCATGGCTGCTTTCTTTGCACCCCGTTTGCCTTAAGTCCACTGAGGCTCTGACGCCTGTGCTGCATGAGTATTACCGTGATGGTGGGCTTTTACTTTGCATGCACCTTCTCTCATTCCGGATTGCTTCTTGTGTTTGCTTAACGAGTTCCCTTTGTATTTGCTTGTGCAGGTGCGGACTTCACCTCAGTTGCGTCCTTGATGAAGACCCAGTTCGCAAACTTGGATTTGGTGGCCAAGAAGGGGCCCAACTCAAGAAAGGGTGCCAAAAAATCCGGAGGGACAGGCAAAGCTACCTCTTCGAAGGGTGCAACTTTCAACAGGGCCAAGTCTTCCGCTGCTGAAACACAGGCGCCTGAGCCTGCGGAGGGCAAGGGGAGCACAACCCGAAAGGGCAAGTCTCCCAAGAGGATTAGGCCAAAGAAGGTTCCCAGTCCTCCGGCGCCCACTGAGACCTTGGATACATGGGAGGCGCCTCATGTGACGGAAGCCACCAAAGCCTCGGTGCCTGTCGTAGACTTGCTTCAGGGAGAGGAAGTCCTCGAAGATGAAGTGCCCTTGTCCCAAAAATTGAAAAGGAAGATGGAGGGCGCCCAAGGTGAGTTGGGTAAGCGCCAACGTCTAGATGATGACATAGAATTGCCCGAGTCGATGCAAAACTGGCTTCAGCCTCCGAAGCATAAAGTGACCATAGCTTGCTCAGACCGCGCCGCACTAGAAAGGAGCGCCGCCATCCACATGGTGCTAGCAGCTGGAGACGTGCTCCGGGCTCCTCTAGACCTAGAAAATGCTGATCCATTGGCAGAAGTGTGACTCCTGCAGATGATGCTTGCAGCCAAGAAAGCTATCCTGGAGCGAGAGGCCCTGCTCGCCGAGGCTACCGAAGCAACCACCTCTCTCGGTGTGTCCCAAGATAACCTCGAGACGGCGAGAAATCGCTAAGAGGAACTCATAAAAATGTGCGAGGATGCCCAACTTGAGGCTGCTAAGAGCGCCTCGCTTGTGCAGCGCACGGTGGATGAAGAGAAGGAGAAGTTGCGCAAGGAGTATGAGGCGCGGATTGAGGAAGAAAAGAGGGCGCATGAGGAGACGAGGGTGAAGTTGGAACAGGAGAAGCTCGACTTAGAAAAAGAGTCGGGCACCTACAGGAGTGAAATCGACCTCCTTCGCCAAGATAAGCGCAATCTGAAGAAGGATAAGAAAGTGCTGGGTAGGGAAAATGAGAAGCAATCAAAGGAGGTACAGGCGCTCCGAGAAGAGAAGAAGGTGCTGGAGGATGAGAAGTAGGCGCTCGAAGCGCGGGCAGTGGGGGGCACCCCA